TTTAAAAATTTTTTTTTTTTTGTATTTTGTTTTGTTTGTTGTTTTTTTACGATATTTAATTGATTTCTCTTGTAATTAACCAGAAATATAATTGATATTTTTCAGAATTGACTGATTTAAAATTACAGTATTTTCAATTCAAATTATTCAATTGTTTCATTTTTATTCCAAAAAAAATAATAATAATATTAATAATAATTTTGATATTAAATGTAATTCATTTATAAATATTAAATTAATTTACTTTTATTATCAAAATTATTTATCATAATACAGTTAATTTGTTAATTTTATCATATCAAAAATTAAAAATATGTAATATATGAGACAGGTTTCTTCACACGTTGTGATCGTCGAATATTACATTCATTTTTATCATTTTGTTGAAATGTATTATTAGTATTATCATAAGCACTATAACCAACACGTGGATTCCAAATTGGTGATTCCCATATTGCTGATGAACTACGTGTTAATAATCGTATCTTATCATTAAACATTTTTTGCATATCAGGTGGATGAATTTTACCAAATAAAGTATTAATATCAGTAAAAGACCATATTTGTTGTTTTTTCAGCATTTCTTGTACATTTTCTTCTATAATAATAAAATTTAATAATTTAAAATTTTAAAAAAATTTGAAAAATTGAAAAATTTAATTAAACTTATTTATAAAAATGAAATATTGATAATTAATTGCTTATTTTTAATGATATATTCTTCTGTTCTAATATTTTTAATAAAATTTTAAATTATCGTAAATTGAATACATTTCAAATAAATTATTCGATCATTCGATTATTTGGCTCTTTTTTTTTTTTTTTTCTTTGAAATTATTACCTTTAGCCCATAGTGGAATTTTTTTATGTGGCTTTTCATTTGGATCAATTGGTTCATTGGATGATGATAGATCGTAAATGTCATAATCTGTCACTTCATCATCACTTTTCTCTTTAGTATTTATTGAATGACATATTCTAGAAATTATTTACATAAAAATTAAACAAAAGATATCTAAATAAATGGTTGATTTACTTATGTAATTTTAATGTTTTTTCTTTTTCTTTTTTAATCATAATTTTATGGATAATTAATAAAACTATCCATTCAATGGTCCCACTGATTTTCTATAAAAAAAGAAGGCTAGTATAAAGTTATGTTAATTATACAAAATGTATATACAGTATTTCTAATCAAAAATAAAGGAATAGCAATTTAGTTTTATCATGAAATAGTAATTTGAAAAAAATAGTAATTTAATTAGTAATTTAATAGTGATTGAAGTACTAATTTAATAGTTATAGTGATTTAACTAATTATTAAGAAGTAGTGATTTAATTTCAAAAGAAAGTAATTTAATTTTGCCACAAAAATAGTAATTTAATTAGTAATTTAGTAGTGATTTAAATAGTAGTTTAACTAGCAATCAAGAAGTAGTAATTTAATTTTACCACAAAAACAGTAATTTAATTAGTAGTTTACTAGTGATTTAAATAGTAATTTAATTAGTAATTAAGAATTAGTGCATTATTTTTAAAAGAAAACAATTTCATTTTACTACGAAAATAGTAATTTAATTAGTAGTTTACTAGTGATTTAAATAGTAATTTAATTAGTAATTAAGAATTGGTACTTTATTTTTAAAAGAGAATAATTTAATTTTACCATGAAAATGATAATTTACTAAAATTTACCTGGTATATTCTTGTTCATCTAATTCATCGAGTGCTTTTTGACTTGGAAATTTTGTACTTGTCACTTTTCCACGTTTCTCGCTAATATCCATTATAATATTTGATTGACATGATGATGATTTTAGATCCATTGACATTATACGTAAATCATCATTAACAATATTTTGCTCATATTTTAAATCATAATTCAGATATGTTGATCGTTTTGTGTTATCATCATTATCAATTAAATTTTTCTTATCACCTTTATACATTTCATCTTGATCAATAATATTTGTTATTCGTTGAGTAATATTAGTACTTTTTTCAATCGGACGTGTACGTTCCAAAATTGATGCTGTATTGATTGATGTTAAACTTGTTGAATGGGATTTAACATCGTTAAAAATATTACTATCATCCTTTTGCTTTGATGTATGAAATTGTGACATATCACATGACATTGATATTTCAATCATTTCAATATCCATAGGTATTTGTTCAATATTCATATTAGAATTAGAATTTGTAATTAGTATTTGTGATGAATTATCAATCATTGAAAATAATGTATCAATATTGGATGTATTAGAAATGGCTGTTTTAATTGTTGCTGTTTCTGAGTTAGATTTGATTAAAATAGGATGACTGGTATCATTTTTCAATAGGATTGCTGTATGATTCATGATATTATCGTTAAATTCATCCTAAAATTGTTTAATTTTTATGTTAATTTTAAAAGATAATTAATAAATTGTAAATGTTTTATGTCTTAGAAATTAATGATTTATTTTAGAAATTATTACAAACGATGAAGATGATTAAGTAAGTTTTAAAGTCTTTTGTTAGTATACTGTAACAATGATAAATAGCAATAATTTGTTATCCTAATTTGTAATTCTGGAAAGTATTCAAATGGATAAATATGGAAGTTATTACGAGAAATATTTAGCTAACTGAAATTAAATACAATAGTAAATACCATATAATGTTAAAATTTATCGTGTGGAAATTTTACATATGGTAGAACTTTCTGGTCAAAATTTTAATTTATGTCATTATTATTATTATTATTATTATTATTATTATTATTATTATCATTATTATTATTATTATTATTATTATTATTATTATTATTATTATTATTATTATTCATTATTATTATTATTATTATTATTATTATTATTATTATTATTATTATTATTATTA